CACCACCACCATCCACCACCACCTCCACCCCACCACCTCCACCACCATCCACCACCACCACCACCTCCACCACCACCTCCACCACCACCTCCACCTACCACCACCTCCTCACCACCACCACCTCCACCCCACTCCACCACCACCTCCACCACACCACCTCCACCACCACCACCACCTCCACCACCACACCTCCACCACCACCACCACCTCACCACCACCACCACCTCCACCACCACCACCTCCACCACCACACCACCACCACCACCACCACCACCTCCACCACACCACCACCTCACCACCACCACCTCCACCACCACCTCCACCACCACCACCACCTCCACCACCACCTCCACCACCACCTCCACCACCACCACCTCCACCACCACCCACCTCCACCACCACCACCTCCACCACCACCACCACCTCCACCCCACCCCACCACCCCCCCACCACCACCCCACCCACCACCACCACCACCACCCTCCACTACCACCTCCACCACCACCTCCACCACCACCACCACCACCTCCACCCATCACCACCACACCTTGACCACCACCACCTCCACCACCACCACCACTTCCACCACCACATTCACCACCACCTCCACCACCACCTCCACCACCACCACCACCACCACCACCTCCACCACCACCACCACCTCCACCACCACCACCTCCACCACCACCTCCACCACCCCACCACCACCACCACCACCACCACCACCTCCACCACCACCTCCACCACCACCACCTCCACCACCACCACCTCCACCATCCACCACCACCTTCACCACCACCACCACCTCCACCACCACCACCACCACCTCCACCACCACCTCCACCACCACCTCCACTACCACCTCCACCACCTCCACCACCACCTCCACCACCACCTCCACCACCACCACCACCTCCACCACCTCCACCACACCTCCACCACCACCTCCACCACCACCACCACCACCACCACCTCCACCACCACCACCTCCACCACCTCCACCACCTCCACCACCACCTCCACCACCACCACCACCACCACCTCCACCACCACCACCACCTCCACCACCACCACCACCTCCACCACCTCCACCACCACCTTCACCACCACCTCCACCACCTCCACCACCACCTTCCACCTCCACCACCACCAGCGGCAGCGGCAGAGGTCGCGGGACGAGGCCACGCGCCGAGGCGGCTTCTCGCGAGGTCGTCCCCCCGCTGGTGACGAGGAGAGCCGCTGGGCTGGACACAAGTCCAATGGCGCGACTTTTCCGCCTGTCGAGGTTCTTTCAGGCCACAGGGTGATTGGCCAATGTGTTGAGTTTGTCGTCTTGAATTGCGTTCGTGCGTCGCTGCCAACGCAGCTTCACCCAATAATCTGCAGTCCCAGAGACTCGCCCACGAGAGGGCGCCGCGTCTCCGCCGTGCACCGCAGTGGCGGCAGCAGCAGCAGCAGCGCCAGGCTCCTGCCACTGCGCTACACGGTCCTGTGCTGAAGCAGGCCCATAGATCTACTCTCATCACCCAGGAATGTCTGTCCTTAACGCTCGTGACGTCACTCCACATCCACCAGCCCCCCTCATTAATATTCATGAGCAGGTGACGTCCTCCACATGACTGCTGATGAGACACTGAGAGACGAAGCCTGTTTCAGGGTGCTGTTTGCGCTGAGTTAATGTTGATGATGAGATGCACTCTGAGAAGGTTCGCTTTGTGTGCGTGGAGAAGTGGCGATGTGGAGGCTGTACAGCCCGCTTGTCTTGTTCCTTGCGTTGCAGCAGCAACAGCAGCAGCTGTAGTTGTGCGTTCGTCCACTAGAGGGCATCACGTGCCTTGTGGAGAACCTGCAGTGCCCCTACATCCTATAGCCCTGACCCTATAGCCCTGTCCCTAACCTATTACTGTTGTTGTCCTTCCCCGGCACTTCGGATTAGCACGGTTGGCTATGTACGGTGCGAAAGAAGTTCAGCATACATCATGTTCATCTCAGGCTGCCTTCAATAGCTGCCCCCAGACATGAGTTATCATTTGTGGTCAAGTGGCTTCTGAAATATAAGCTAATACCTCATTGGATGTTGCCTGATAAGATAACAAAAATTGCTTAGTAACTTTTTTACTGATTTGTTTACTTTTCCTATACCTTGCACTCCGATCGTATTTTTCGGATTTTTTGTTGCTGTAACGTTCAAACCCGCCCCTACTTTATAGCTCATCAGATTCCTCCAGTATGATCACAAATTCAAATTTTGATTCTCATTTACATATCTAGGGCAGCTCGTGTTGGTAGTGAGCCCCGATGAAGGCCAGCAAGGCGCTCGAAGGGGACGGAGTGGTCACAACCGTGTCTGGTCCTCAGACCCACCCACCCAATCACTCAATCATTCAAATACGCAATTACCCACGGACATATTCACCCACTCACTAAATTACCCACTCAACCACTCACTCAACGACTCACCCACCCACTCACTCACCCACTCAAGTACTCACTCAGTCACCTACTCACCCACTCATTCAATGATTCACCGACTCTTTCACTCGCTCACCCACCCACTCACCCATCCACTCACCCACCCACTCACCCATCCACTCACCCACCTACTATCTTACCCACCCACCTACTAACTCACTCACCCGCTGACCCACCCACGCACCCACTCGCCCATTTACTAACCCACCCATCCGCTCACCCACCCACCCACGAACCCACTCACCCACCCAATCACCTCCCCACTCACCCACCACTCATTCACCCACTCATTAACCCACTCACCCATCCAACCACTCACTCAAATATCCACTAATTAACCCATTCACCCATCCAACCACTCAATTATACACTCACACACAGACTCCAGAACTCACCCATTCACCCAATCACTCATTAAAAATTCCACTCACCCACGTTCTCATTCCCAACTCGCTCAATTACCCACTGACCCACCCAAGCACGAAATCATGTATCCACCTCCTTATTCATTGAATTACTCATTCAACCACTCATTCATTCAAACTAACTCACTGACCCGCCCACTCACTCATCAACCCACCTAATCATTTACCAACTTAACCACCCACTTACTCATTAACACATTCACACATCCACCAATCTACACACTGAATTACCCACTCATTTATCCACCTACCACACACCCACCCACTCACCCACCCACTCACCCTCCCACCCACTCACCCACTCACCCACTCACTCTCCCACTCACTTTCCCACTCACTCTCCCACCCACTCACCCACCCACTCATTCAACCACTAATTTACCCACCCACTCACCCACCCACCCACTCACCCACCCACCCACTCTCACTCACCCACTCACGCACCTCCTCACCCACCCACTCACCCAATCACTCAATCATTCAAATACCAAATTACCCACGTACGTATTCACCCACTAATTCAATTACCCACTCAACTACTCACCCACCCACTCACCCACTCAAGTACTCACTCGGTCACCTACTCACCCACTAATTCAATGATTCACCGACTCATTCACTCGCTCACCCACCCACTCACCCATCCATTCACCCACCTACTAACTTACCCACCTACTAACTCACCCACCCGCGTATCCACCCACTCACCCACCCACTCGCCCACTTACTAACTCACCCATCCACTCACCCACCCACCCAATCACCTCCCCATTCACCCACCACTCATTCACCCACTCACCCATCCAACCACTCACTCAAATATCCACTAATTTACCCATTCACTCATCCAACCACTCAATTATCCCCTCACACACAGACTCACGAACTCACCCAATCACTCATTCAAAAATCCACTCACCCACGTTCTCATTCCCCGCTCGCTCAATTCCCCACTGACCCACCCAAGCACCAAATCATGTATCCACCTGCCCATTCATTTAATTACCCATTCAACCACTCATTCATTTAAACTAACTCACTGACCCGCCCACTCACTCATCCACCCACCTAATCATTCACCAACCACCAACTTACTCATTAACACATTCACACATCCACCAATCTACACACTGAATTACCCACTCATCCATCCACCTCCCACACCCCCAGCCACCCACTCATTCACACACCGACCCACTCATTCAATTACCCATCCACCCATTCAACCACCTACCATCCACTTACCCAGGTACCAACTCATCCAATTACCCACACACCGATGCACTCATTCATCCAGCACCTACCCACCCAACTTGCCACTCGATTTTGGTGTACCCAGTTGTACTGTTTGGCGGACAGAGGCAGGGAAACTTAAGATACTCGACCATTTTGGGACCTCCTTTGCCAGTACCAAAATAAACTAATAGGGATTTTCCCCTTTTTTCTGGCAACATTTGACTGCAAGTATTGTGGTTAATGTAAACATGATGCCTTGCAAAAGGTGTCAGTTTTGTTGCCAGAAAAAATGGGAAAACCCCTATTAGTACTCGACCATTTGTTTCAACTGCTGTGCCAGAAGGTGGAACCAGCAATCTCTCTATTGCCAGTGAATTTTACGAGCCATTGCATCACAGCAGCCCCCTCCAGTATTTAATGTTTAACGAGGGTCTCTCTCTCTCTCTCTGCGTGTACATCAGGGTAATATTTAATGAGGTGGTGTGGACGTCTCGCTGCTTCGTGATGGATGTGATGGCAGTGGGAAAGTGGGGCAATGGAACAGCGGGGCATTAGGGCAGAGTAGCACCAGCGCAGTGGAGCAGCGGAGCATAAGGGCATTGAGGCAGTGGGGCAGTGGGGCAGAGGGCATTGGGGCAGCAGGACAGCGGAGCAGCTTGGCAGAGGGGCAGTGGGGCAGTTAGGGGGCGGATGTGTCAGACGAATCGCCTGATTATCTTTTCCCACCACTGCCTGTACACGTTCTGAAGAAAGGCCATTGCCTGAAACTTCTCTCATGACATAGTTGTCATTGTACCGCCGCACACACAGCCGGGACACTGCACACGAGCCAAGGCACATTTAACAAACCCAGGCAGCACTCACAAGCAATGCAAAGTTACATTGTTTCCTCATAAGTTCATGTCATGACGTTAATAATAAAAACAACAATGATAAGTATTACATAATACATTGGATTGATCCTATCTCTGAACAGAGTTAGTCTGTTGGCAGCAGTCATTGTCCAGTCCAGTCCTGGCATCTGCTGCTCAGTTTCCTTCCCCGGCTGCGGTCCCAGTGGCACCGTCTTTCCGGGGAACCGTGTGGTGTGTGTGGTGTGTGTGGTGTGAGTGGTGTGTGTGGTGTGTGTGGTGTGTGTAGTGTGAGTGGTATGAGGGGTGTGAGTGGGTGTGTGTGTGCGGTGTGTGCGGTGTGTGCGGTGTGTCTGGTGTGTGTGGTGTGTGTGGTGTGAGTGGTGTGTGTGGTGTGTGTAGTGTGAGTGGTGTGTGTGGTGTGTGTGGTGTGAGTGGGGTGTGTGGTGTGTGTGGTGTGTATCACGGGGTGGGTGGGTAGATGGTGTGGTGCATGTGGTGATAGCGGTCATGGTAAGCACCGCACCACCTCCATCACCCCAACTGTGCGGTCGACCGGTCGCAACAAAACAGCATCATGCTGCGGAGGAGCGCATGGATCGCGTTCGCCACACGAGCCAGGCCCTTTCGTTCCCGCACTACCACCTCCTCCTGCGTGTAGGTGTGAGTAAGGGTATAGAGGTGTGTGTAGGTGTTTAGGTGTATAGAGGTGTGTAAGTGTATAGAGGTGTGTGTGTAGGTGTGTGTACGTGTATAGAGGTGTGTGTGTAGGTGTTTAGGTGTATAGAGGTGTGTGTGTAAGTGTATAGAGGTGTGTGTGTAGGTGTGTGTACGTGTATAGAGGTGTGTGTGTAGGTGTGAGTAAGGGTATAGAGGTGTGTGTGTGGGTGTTTAGGTGTAGAGAGGTGTGTGTGTAAGTGTATAGAGGTGTGTGTGTAAGTGTATAGAGGTGTGTGTGTAGGTGTGTGTAAGTGTATAGAGGTGTGTGTGTAGGTGTGTGTACGTGTATAGAGGTGTGTGTAGGTGTTTAGGTATATAGAGGTGTGTGTGTAGGTGTTTAGGTGTATAGAGGTGTGTGTAGGTGTAAGTGTATAGAGGTGTGTGTCAGTGTGTGTGAGTGTATAGAGGTGTGTGTAGGTGTGTGTGAGTGTATAGAGGTGTGTGTAGGTGTGTGTGAGTGTATAGAGGTGTGTGTATAGAGGTGTGTGTGTAGATGTGTGTAAGTGTCTAGAGGTGTGTGTGTAGGTGTGTGTGAGTGTATAGAAGTGTGTGTGTGTAGGTGTGTGTGAGTGTATAGAGGTGTGTGTGTGTAAGTGTATATAGGTGTGTGTGAGGTCCTGGGGGAGGGAAAATCTCTCAGCCAGGAAAACATCATGGCACAAAGTGGGGATAACCCTGCTGAGGCTGCGGTGCCTCAAATATTGGAGGAGGTCACCCCCTGTGAGTGGCTGGCTGAGGTGCCATCTGTTGAGGAAGTACTGAAGGCGATCCGGAGTCTGAGACCAGGAAAGGCACCGGGCAGAGATGATCTCCCAAGCGAAATGCTGAGGGAGGGTGGCGCTTGTGCACAGACTGCCCTATATGACATCATAACAACAGTCTGGACCGCTGGACGGGTACCGCAGGATTGGAAGGATGCCTTGCTCGGCACGCTGAGGAGAGGCTTGCAGAACCCCAATGCGGTTTCAGGAAAGGGCGGTCCTGTACAGATGCCATATTTTCTGTCTGTCTGCTACAGCAGAGGTGTAGGGAATTCCAACAAGACCTTCATCTCTGCTTTATTGACCTGGTCAAGGCCTATGATACCATCAGTAGGCCTGGGCTCTGGGTTGTTCTTCGTGCTTTCGGAGTCCCTGACCCTCTGTTCACGATCATTAAGGACCTTCATGATGGTGAGCGGGCCCGGGTAAAACTACGTGGCCGGGAATCAGAGCCTTCCCCTGTACACCTTGTGGTGCGACAGGGATGTCCTCAGGCTCCCACATTATTTAACATCTATTTCGACTGCGTAGTTCGTGAAGCCTTCAATAGCTGTACCGGGGGAATTTCCATTTGGTACAGATATAATGGGAGGCTGATCGACCACGTTATGTATGCCGATGATTTGGTAATAGCTGCTCATTCAGAAGAGGAGTTGGAGACGCTGCTGCTGAAACTGGAGCGTGCCACTAAGAGGTGGGGCCTTACCATCAGCCCCACCAAAACTAAGCACCTGCCTGGGTATTTTGTACCATCAGACACTCCACCCCCACAACTCCCAATCGGTGATGGGGCAGTTGTGGAGAGAGTGGAGAGTTTCCCATACCTGGGCAGTGTGCTTATGACCGGCTCCAGTTTATCAGCAGAGGTCTCACTCCGAATCAGTCGAGCGGCATTATCTTTTCATCGGTTGCGTAACGCTGTGTGGAAGCTACCTCCGCACGAAGCTTCAGGTCTTCTCGGCCACGGTCATTCCCTCCCTTCTCTACGCTTGCGAAACGTGGACCCCCCTAATGGAGCAACTTCGTCGGTTGGAAACATTTAGGCTGGCCTGCCTACGATCCATCCTGGGTTTAACCAGGCTGGATTGTGTAAGGAGCTCACAAATCCTTGAAAGATCTGGGCAAAGTCCCATCGGTGAGCTCCTCCGGCAGGCAAGGCTGCGTTGGCTGGGTCATGTAGCACGCATGCCCAGCTACCGCATGCCTAAAATCGAGGGGGCTAAACGGGCGCGGCGCGGGCTAGAGAAGAGATGGAGTGATGTGGTACAGGAGGACGTGGAGCTGAGTGGACTTGCCGATGACTGGTACCAGCAGTGTCAAGATCGGCCTCAGTGGAGGAGGCTCGTGAAGGACGCTACTGGGCAGTTGGAGGCAGTCGCCCTCCAACAACAACGGAGGGCTGAGGAGCGACGTTCACAACAACGAGCGGAGCGCCGGGTGGCTAAAGCACAGCAAGTTGGTACGGTAGGGGGCCACAGGTGGTGCATCAGCCAGTCATCTCGGTCATCTCGGTCAGTCGACCCGTGGCACCTGCTGGGTCTGCCCTGTGACCTCCTGCCAGCGGGCGTTCGACACTTCACGTGGCCTCAAGGTGCACTTGGCCTGGCACAAGCGTCGTGGTGACGTCACCGCCACTTAGTGGCGAATGGCGGTTGTTGTTGTATAGGTGTGTGTGTGTGTAGGTGTGTAAGTGTGTAGAGGTGTGTGCGTGTAGGTGTGTGGGGAGCGGTAGTGTAGCAGTTAGCGCGCTGCGCTATGAACCTGGCGACCCGGGTTCGATTCCCACTCACGGCTAACACCAGTGACGATTATCTGAACCGGTCCTGGGCCTCCCCTAGGTCGACTCAGCCTTAAATGAGTACCTGGTGCGGTGTGTAAACATCGCCACTGGGGAGACAAAGGCAGTCGGGCGTGGTGCTGGCCACCCACCCCCTCGTGTACCGTTCCGGCCTTCATAGGTGCTCGCTAACAGCACTTGCCTCTACAGGCCATACGGGGGATCTTTGTCTTTGTAAGTGTGTAGGTGTGTGTGAGTGTATAGAGGTGTATAGAGGTGTGTGTAGGTGTGTGTAAGTGTACGGAGGTGTTCGGGTGAGTAACCCTGGCAGCGCAACGCTGCTGGCGTCTCGTGCTGCCGCCTGTACCGCGCCTTGTCCACCAGAGGGCAGCGCCTACCTACGGGTTGTGTGGCGTCAGGGTGAGAAGTGGAGGGTGGGGGAGGGGTCCGGGGGTGGGGGGGGGCTGCTGCTGCAGCGCTCAGCAAGGGGTCGTGCTTGGTGCACCACTGCCAATTCTTTATTGCATCGATCTATCTCATTCTTTGTCTCTGCTTCTATTTCTGCGCCCGAGTATGCACCGCTACTTGTGGTACCCTATCTGTACTCATTGGAGAGCCACGTCCAAACCACTAAATCTTCTTGTTTCTTGTGTGAAGCCCTCTCCAATATTTTATTTTATTTCTGCAAAAGGGCTGCTGCCATGACTGTGGGATGGTTGTCACGATTGACTTCAAATGTCGCGGTTCGATCTCCCAGCCTGGCCTTGAAAACATTGACCAGGATTCTTACAATTCCCTGTTTTGTCCACCCACAGTCCATCGGTGGGTCGCGTGCAGTGGGCTAAATGGCGAGTACTCCCACCTCGTTCAAGACGAATGGTCAGTGTGGAAAAGTTGGCCAAAACATACCCACCGGATCGGCACTCTAGACCTCCCTCTAGTGGAGGTTCTTTCACCAGCAGTTGCATGAGCAAGTAATTGCAGGGCTGCAGCATTAACCTCACGTGTACAACAATAATCTGGTTTACGTGCATTTCAGAACTCCTTGATCCAGACCCCAGCATCCCAGTGGTGCAGGATCAGTGCTCTGCATCGGTGTTACCATTGCGCCGTTGCTCCTCTGCAACCCCGTGCCACCCGTTGCCGCGTGTGACGTCGCTGCGCCCTGTGCACCGCACGTGTCCCCAGCCCCTGCCGCTGCTCCGCCGGGACACCGGCTTGATGCTGACGATGTCTCAGGAGCAGGCCGCCTGCCTCCTGGCCAACGCCTTCTTCTGCACGTTCCCCCGGAGCAACGCCACCGGGACCCGGAGCGAGGACTCTGCCTGCCCCGACATCAACGTCAACAGGTGCAGCAGCAGCAGCCCATCACTGTGGATTACACACCGTACACCGTGTGTCATGCAGTACACACACACAGATGCCATGCTCTCTCTATGTAGAGTATATCTTGCTGTATATGTAGCGTCGGAAATGCAAAGCACACACCACCTGTAGTTGCGGGCACGAGTCTGCAGGGGGTGCCACCGTGAGTTAGAGAGAGAACCGGGACCGTTGAGAGGCCGAGTTCCCCCCCCCCCGATCCCGAGGGGTTGGGGGGTTATTCCAGAGCCACCTTGAAGGTTCCAGAAAGGGGGCGGTACCGGGGGTGGAGAGTCCCCAAGGTGGGTATAAAAGACGGACCCCAGGACGGCCCGAGGCAGTGCTCTGAAGACGAAGACTGAAGACCGGCTAGGCTAGGACCCTGGGACCCCGGGACCCTGGGACCCTGGGACCCCGGGACCCGACGTCCTTTTAAGGGGCGGGGCCGAGCACGGACCAGTGGTTGAGACCCGCACGTTGGCTGGGTCGGGTCAGCATAGCCTCCCCGAGGCCACCCTTAGTCGGAGGACTCAGAGCCCGTAGCCCCAGTGATAGGGCACGTTAGCCCGGAGGCCATACCTCCCCAAGTAGTGGGAGTAAAAGGGGCTTCTGTTATAAGATTTAAATAAACCGTGTTGCCTCTAAGCTACGTCTCCAGTCTCCGTGGGAACCCACTACATATACACAAGAAATGCTGTTCTACACATAACGGCCATGCCACGTTTCAGTTCAAAGTAACGCTGCAGTACGTGCACAGGCTATGCTCCTTTACACATACTCTGTATTATACGGCACACACTTTCATGGTGCTGTCTTCACGGTATATGATGCGTTACACGTAGGCCATGCTGTATTATAAACTCCGTTCAAAGTATCAGTTTATACGTAGCCAATGCCACTGTACAAAGACAAAGATCCCCCCTCATAGCCTTAACAAATTTTTGAGGCAAGTGGTGTTAGTGAGGACCTACAGAGGACGGGCACAGTACACAGGGGAGTGGGTAGCCAACACCACGCATTTGTCTCCCTCGTGGTGATGTGTACCCACTGTATCAGGTACTCATTTGAGGTTGAGTCGATCAAGGGGAGGCCCAGGACCGGTTCAGATATTTCCCACTGTTATACCGGTAGGAACAACAGATTCCACACTGCCCACCAGGGATTATTTGTCTGTCGTGCATGAGGAGGGGAGGGTGGGGGTGGGAGGGGTGGGGCTGGGTGGAGATGGGAGGGTGGGGAGGGGCTGAGGGAGGGGAGGGTGGGGAGGGGCTGGGGGAGGAGGGGAGGGGCTGGGTGGGGGGTGGGGCTGGGTGGGGAGGGGCTGGTCACCCCGTGGTGCCCTTATAAAACTCAACGTTTAACCTACACACTACACTATACACGACACGATACACTACACTTATACAAGTGTAGTGAGTTCTCAGGGAGACAGACGACGTAGTTGAGGCACACTCTTTTATTTAACCAAAAGGCGGTAACAATACTTGAAGGGGTAATGGCCCCTTCACCCGTACTCAATGGGAAACACCCCTAGCACTATCCCCTGACTTCTCCTATTCCCAGTCCTCCGCTATGAGTGCTAGGGGAGGCTATCTGATCCGGCCCTGGTCAAGCACGGATCCCGGCACCCAGCTAACCAGGCCGTGCTCTTACAAGAGCAGCGGTCCTGGAGCTCTTGGGGCCGCGCCACTTGCCCTGCTCGGCCCTGACAAGGACAGCGAGCCAGGGGAGTTCCAGGGCCTATTCTACCGGTCTTCAGTCTTCTCTGGTAAGCGTCTAACACACTGGCCTCGAGCCCTCTGGCTCCCCGCCTTTTATAAGAATCCTCTCCGAGGGGTGGGGCTATGGGGGATCACAACGCCCCCATGCCCCCCCAGGGTTAACCGATGCGGACGTGGATGTAGACACCCGTGTGTAGGTCCAGACACCCTTGTGTTTGTCCGCCTTTCTTCCCGTAACAACCCCTAAATTTGTATTTAGTGTTGAAAAACTGGCAGGATTTTACGTACTTTGTGCTTATATGCTCAGTTATTTTGTGACTTCCTTACATTTTTACACTTTGCACTCATTTTCTTTTGTTTGTTGTTGTAACTTGCTGACCCTGTGCCTCGACTGCATATCTGTGAAAGAAGAGCTTCATAGCTTATCGGATTCCTCTTCATCCAGTCTAAATAATTTATTCTGATTTTGGAAACCAATGCAGGATAAAACGGGGGGGGGGGGGGTAGAACACACTCCACATTCTACACGGAGAAAGTGGCCCAAGTTTGGGCATCAAACCCAGGTCCCTCTGTGAGTTCCAGCCCTGCCGCCTGCAAACGAACACATGTACAGTTCAAACCCCACGTGTACATTCGGTTATATACGGATGTATTTTTATAATTGGTTTCTGGGTGAGGACAAATAATGAAGCAGCCATATCTTTGCCATGTAGCCTTTCATCCAGTGTGATATCTTAAGACTAATGCCCATTTTGTAACCAGACCCACGATGGGCAAAGGTATGCTGCGTTACTGCAGCATCGTTATTAACCTGGTTAATCTATCTCTGCACGATGGTGGGGGGGGGGGGGGAGTGCGATCTCTGCTGTAGCAGGAAGTTGGAACGGTGTCGTGCGCATCTTTTTACAGAGCGGAGCCGGCGCTGCCCCCATCCTCCGCGCTCACCCAGGCCTCTAAATGGCTGACGGTTGTTGTGGAGGAAGAGGAGACTCTGGTGGAGGAGCTGTTGGTGCAGGAGGAGGAGACCCTGGTGGAGGAGCTGGTGGTGCAGGAGGAGGAGACCCTGGTGGAGGAGCTGTTGGTGCAGGAGGAGGAGACCCTGGTGGAGGAGCTGTTGGTGCAGGAGGAGGAGACCCTGGTGGAGGAGCTGTTGGTGCAGGAGGAGGAGACCCTGGTGGAAGAACTGGTGGTGCAGGAGGAGGAGACCCTGGTGGAGGAGCTGGTGGTGCAGGAGGAGGAGACCCTGGTGGAGGAGCTGGTGGTGCAGGAGGAGGAGACCCTGGTGGAGGAGCTGTTGGTGCAGGAGGAGGAGACCCTGGTGGAGGAGCTGTTGGTGCAGGAGGAGGAGACCCTGGTGGAGGAGCTGGTGGTGCAGGAGGAGGAGATCCTGGTGGAGGAGCTGGTGGTGCAGGAGGAGGAGACCCTGGTGGAAGAGCTGGTGGTGCAGGAGGAGGAGACCCTGGTGGAAGAGCTGGTGGTGCAGGAGGAGGAGACTCCTGGGGTTGGAGGAGACCTGGTGGAGGAGCTGGTGGTGCAGGAGGAGGAGACCCTGGTGGAGGAGCTGGTGGTGCAGGAGGAGGAGACCCTGGTGGAGGAGCTGGTGGTGCAGGAGGAGGAGACCCTGGTGGAGGAGCTGGTGGTGCAGGAGGAGGAGACCCTGGTGGAGGAGCTGGTGGTGCAGGAGGAGGAGACCCTGGTGGAGGAGCTGGTGGTGCAGGAAGAAGAGATGAGGGGGGAGACAGAGGAGGTATGGACGAAGGAGCAGGAGGAGGAGATGGTGGTGCAGATGGAGGAGACATTGGTGGAGAAGGAGATGACAAGGAAAGAGGATCAGGTGATAGTGATGCAGGAAGAGAAGAGGAAGCGAGGGAGTCTGGCCCGCATAGGGAGAACCATCCGTTCACTCCTCCGACGCATGCTGCTGTGTGGTGGCCGGTCCACCACACAGTAGAGGTGGTGGTGGTGGTCACGGATCGTTGTGAACCACAACCACTACCACCATACCCACCACACACACCCTGCACCCATTCACCCCCCTGTGATACCCACCACCCAACGCACACCACACACACATTGCACCCACCCACCCCATGATCCCACCCCCACCACATTCCACACAAAGGGTTAGGGGTTTAGAGGGTTAGGGATTTATAAAGTTAAGGGTTTAGAGGTTTTGGGTTATTTCAGGGATAAGGGGTTTAGAGGTTTAGGGATTTCGAGGGTTATAGGGTTTAGGGGTTGAGGGGATTCGAGAGTTAGGGGTTTAGAGGGTTGGGGTTTAGAGGGTTAGGTGTTTAGAGGATAAGTCTATTTGGGGTAAAGGGTTTTAGAGGGTTAGGGTTTTCAGGGTAAAGGGGTTTAAGGGTAAAGGAGTTTAGAGGTTAAAGGGGTTTAGAGGGTTAGGAGTTTATAGGGTTTTGGGTTTACAGTGAGGGAGAAAAGTATTTGATCCCCTGCTGATTTTGTACGTTTGCCCACTGACAAAGAAATGATCAGTCTATAATTTTAATGGTAGGTTTATTTGAACAGTGAAAGACAGAATAACAACAAAATCCAGAAAAACGCACGTCAAAAATGTTATAACTTGATTTGCATTTTAATGAGGGAAATAAGTATTTGACCCCCTCTCAATCAGAAAGATTTCTGGCTCCCAGGTGTCTTTTATACAGGTAACGAGCTGAGATTAGGAGCACACTCTTAAAGGGAGTGCTCCTAATCTCGGCTTGTTACCTGTATAAAAGACACCTGTTCACAGAAGAGTTTTAGAAGGTTATGGGTTTAGAGGTTTTGATGTTTAGGGGATTAGGGGTTTATAAGGTGAGGGGTTTAGTGGGTTACGGTTTTACAGGTTTAGGGGTTTCGACGGTTTGGGGTTTATAAGGTTAAGGGTTTAGGCAGTTAAGAGTGTTGGGGGTTTATGGGTTGCCGTTTTATAGGGTGAGGTGTTTAGACGGTTGGGGTCTTAAGGGGAAAGTCCTTCAGAGGATTTGGTGTTTAGAGGGTTAGAGTTTAGAACGTTTTGAGTTTAGAGGGTTTAGAGAGTTACGTGTTTAGAGGTTTATGGGTTTTAGAGGGTTAGGGGTTTAGAGAGTTACGTGTTTAGAGGTTTTTGTGTTTCGATTGTTGGATGTTGAATGGTTTAGATGGTTAGTAGTTGAGGTTATAAGGGTATGTGTTTAGGGGTTTAGAGGTATCGGGGTTTCAAGGGTTAGTGATTTACAGTGTTACGGGTTTAGTGGTTTGAGAGTTGAGGGTTTAACACGTAGACTTTCACAACTAATATTGTCCATAATAAAGGTTTTTTTTGGTTTAGTCTCCAACACTAAATGGCACTTTTTGTTGATGTGACAAATTTTACTAATTGGCTGTTTCAGGTGGTGGTTGGTTTAACGACACGTTTATATTTACATAATCTAACAAAAAAAAACCTTTATGGGTTTAGAGGGTTCCGGGTGTAGTGGATTATGTGTTTAGAGGGTTAGCATTTTAGGGGCATAGGTGTTTTAAGGGTTAGGTGTCGAGAGGGTTCGTTCTTTAGAGGGTTGGGGTTTAAATGTGTTGGGATTAGGTTACAGATTTAGGGTTTTAGAACGTTAGGGGTTTGAGGGTTAGGGTTTTAGAGGTTGAGGATTTAGGAGGTTATGAGTTCAGAGGGTTAGGGGTCTAGAGGGTTAGTTCTTTAGAGGGTAGTGGTTTAGATTGGTTGGTATTTAGAATGTTAAGGATTTAGGGTTTTAGAAGGTTAGGGTTTCAAGGTTTAGAGGGTTAGGGATTCAGAGGGTTTCGAAGTTTTGGTTTTTAATGGCTTAGACGGTTAGGGTTAAAAGAATAAGGGGTTTAGAGAGTGAGGGTTTTGGTGGGTTAGGGTTTTAAGGGTAAAGGGGTTGAGGGTTAGGGGTATAGGAATTTAGAGGGTTAGGGGTTGAGATGGTTAGTGTTTTGGTGGTTTAGAGTTTAAGCTTTTAGAGGGCGAGGGGTTTAAAGATTAGGGTTGTAAGGGTAAATGGGTTGAGAGGGTTAGCGGTTTAGATGGTTATGGATTTAGATAGTTAGGGGTTTAGAGGGTTTTAATTGTTCGAGGTTTAGTGGTTAAGGTCTCTGTGCGAGTCCAACATGTTTGTATGAGTCTATGGTAAGATAAAAAGAGTTCAGTTTAATTTGTATATTTCGAAACAATTTGTTTACCTTTCCTGTGATGTTTTTGTATCGTATTTTTGTTATTTTCTGACCCACAAGATTGGACGTCTGTGAAAACAGATCGTTATAGCTCATCAGATGCATCCAGTATAAATAAATATTCAAATTCTAATTCTATTGACCTCTGTGCGAATCTATAGATTTCTGTGTGAGTTTTTGGGCCTTTGAGTGTATGGATCTCTGTGTGAGGCTATGGGTCTCTGTGAGTATGGGGTCTCTGTGTGAGTCTGAGTGTCTGTAGGAATGTATGGGTCTCTGTTGGGGTCTATGGGTTTCTGGGTATGGTTGTTTGTGCGAGTCTTACATGCACAAATTTAACTTAAAATGGCCATTGAGGGTTGCGGAATCCAAGTTGAATATTAAGTTCCCTGCAGTGCAAGCCAGCTCTCTAGTCGTGTCAAACAGCCCCTTTAATTCTTTATAATAATAAAATAGACTTAGTCCAGGAAATCCACACTGAGTCACAGTCAGGTCCTGAATTGTTTTTTTACATTTCCGACGAATGAATGATGAGTTCTTACACAAGTGGAGGGGGGGAATTCGAGAGACTTGCACCGTTGTTTCAACTGCCATAGAAACAAACTGGTGACCTTAGGATCATCGCAAATCCAGTGTGCTAACCATTACACTGTGGCAAATCACCCACACGCTCACTCACCGAGCTACACACATTCACTCAGGACCGCAGCTCACAACACTTCTCTTTCTGCTTCTTCTCTTTTACTGACCCCATGCATAAAACATCAAGGTGCCTTACAATGGGGGGGGGGGGGGGGGGGTAAGAAGTGGCTAAGTTAAAATTCGAGATGCTTTCTTAAAAGATAAATATTTTTAGGGGGGACCTGAAGGCCCAAACTGAACTAGACTCCCTGACCAACTTTGACAAAGAGTTCCAAAGTCCAATGGCCACCAAAGCAAAATCCCGGTCGCCCATGGACCACTTTGAGCTTTCTTCTCGCGATACAGAGATCTAAATCAGCGATTCTGATGATGCAATTTACATGAAAGTGACGCTTCACAGTGGACGTTATAATTCCCGCTGATGGCATTACTACTATAATAGCCCAGAAATGTGTGTAATGCACGTGACGTCACTCCACATACCCCCTCCCCCGTCATTAATAATAAAATAATCATGAGCGGGTGGATTTTTACACTCACGCGGAAGGCCGAGTGGAAAGATAGTTTTTTCGCAAAGTTGCTTCAAATATGACGTTTCTTTACAGAAAGTAAAAAATAAATATACGCAGCAGTGCTACATCCGTACGTGACGTCACTGCAAAAGAGACACCCCCCCCTCATTCATAATCATGAGCGGGTGGATTTTTACATTCCCGCAGGTTGATTGGAAATAATTTGTTTTACGCAAATTAACTTTAAATTTGACGTTTCTTTATTGAAATGTAATCAAATCAATATTTCTACGCAGCAACAAAGTGTATTTGGTGTCTTTATTTATTTCTTCAGCACTTGAAACAAAAGGTAAGTCTAATTTTTGCTTCTAAATTATTATAAAAGTAGCCTATAGCCCGTCCAAGGACGGGTGTATTGCAGTTAATCTGAAATATTCAATCGAAAATAAAGACCCGCTCATGATTATTAATGAGGGGGTGGGGCCAGGGTCCACATGAGTGACATCATCATTCCATGATCATTGATGAAGGGGGGGAGCTCCATGTGGAGTGACGGAATCCGCTCATGATTATTGATCAGGGGGGGGAACTCCATGTGGAATGACATCATCCACTCTTGATTATTAATGAGGGGGTGGGTGGCGTGGTCCACATCAGTGACGTCATCCGCTCATGATTATTAATTAGGGTGTTTGTGTCCCGCGCGTGACGTCACTCCACATGCCGCACCCCCGTCATTAAGGTAGAGCAGAATTATTATTTGTTGCAAATTCGCTTTAAGTTTCACGTTTCTTTATTTAAAATGAATCTAATAAATAATTCTACGCGGCAACAAATTGGATTTGGGGTCTATATTTTTTCCTAAGATAAGTCTAATTTATGCTTCTACATTTTGGTTACATAGACATTTCTCGGTGATTTTCCAGATATTGTATTGCAATCCAATTTATTTGCACCCCAGCGACCGAAAGCAGAAAATAATAAAGTATCAGAGCAGTGAATTAGAACAAATTGAAGGTCAGCTATATACAGTGCTACAGTGAAATGCAGTGAAGTGTTTTATGACATAATTTCGTGCAAGATTCACTGCCATTCAATTAACACAAAATACAATTATACTCTGCTAATTTTTTTCGTAAATATTACAGCTTCCGTCCTAGGATGGGCAAAGAAGCTAGTTTGATAAGAGTAGGCCAATGTGTGTTGCTGTCACGGTTCAAATTTTCCAAATTCACAAATGACCGACAAATTCCTCAATTGGCATTCCACAAAGCAACATCACAACATGTAGCTACTGCAGACTACTGTATGTGCTGTACTGCGCCTTCGTGATAGCCTTGCGCTGTAAGCCTTGCGATTTTACACCTCCCCCTTTTATATCGTTTAGAAAATACGTTGTCACTTCATTATCAACACCACCGCTACCCGACTAGCATTGCCTCAACCCACACTCATGTCGCTGACAGCATCGTCTGCCCTTTCTCGTAACTGTCGCCTCTCAACCTTCACCTCCACCTAACCCTGTACACAAACTACTTTGCATCGCGCATAAAGAAATGTTCTGTACTATGGAGTACAATATAGTAATTACGCATGATATTTTAGTGATTTTATTTTCATAATGTACTGCTAATAATGTTTTAACGTTTACTGCCGAAACTAGTATTGAGTGTAGTATTTTTAGTAATTGAATGTAATGTTGCGGATACGTCTAGGATGAAGATGCACGCATTAACACGGCTTCAGCATTGTTTAGTCCTCGTGGCAAAATTGCGTTGATTTACGTCGTTTCGGTATTCGTTGTCGCACATTTAAGAAAAGCATCCCTGACATAAACCGGGGTATTACTGTCAACTAAATTATTATTATTCAAGACTTACCACCTCACGTGTAGGTCGTCGCGATCGCATGCTAGATGCTTGCACATTTGCCTGTTTCTCATTACGAACGTGTCCCAAGGCCTTGTTCAGATCACCTTGAGTGTGGGCCAAGGCAACTGCGTGCACGGACAGTGACCCACACTCGGCGCGGAGACGTGCCACCACCCCACGCACCTCGCGGCTGTACAGGTACATGTGGCGCACACTCACATTCACCTCCACCTGTCAGGAGGACAGAAACAAGAGTTAGGGACAAGGACATTTTTATTATTGTTACACTTCCTGACCCAGAAAATCCTAAGTCTCAAGAATATTTTTAACGAGGGTCATGCCATTTTTTTGGCAGCAGGAGGGGATGATGATTGCATGTGTCATCCGAATTCAGTAATTTTGCAAGTAATTTCCAGCATTGGGATAGATGAGCAATACATGTTCAATTGGAAGGGGTTTTTTATTTTATGGGAGGAAATCCATGTGTAGTGAGTCCAACTGAGTTGCAGAAGTTCTTCTTCAGAGGCAACACAGTGCATCGCACGCCGTGCTCTGCTAGAGCCGGCATCACTCTGCAACACACACGATGCTGTCTGGCACCATACAGTTACATCCCCAATGTCACTCACTACACATGTGTAGAGTAGTATGACGACATGACATCATGAGCGCTGTGAGGCGCAATGACGTCATGTCACGGGAAATACTTAAGGGGGACCCCGTGGCGAAAGCGGGGTCGTTGTGGGAGCCCGGGATGGTGAGCGTCTTAAGGTCTCTCCTGCTCGTGACCGGACGGTGTTGGCTGACCCCCCGTCCGGGTTCTACGAGTAGGAGAGCCGAAGATACAGCCAGGGGTAGGGCTCAGAGAAGTCTGCAAGAGCCGGTTAAGATTACGTGGGGTGCTGCTCTCCTCGGTCGGGTGGTGTTGGATAAGCCCCCATCCCAACTCGAGTGAGAGGCCAAGAGATAGCCCAGGCTAGGAATAGATAGAGCCTGACGTCCGCGTCAAGGACTGAGTGTAGGGACACCTACCTCTGGTGTGTTGTGTTACCTCTGTGTTAATAAACTGGCGCAAGCCCTTACTAAGAGTTCAGTCTACGAGTCGTCCATGTACAGCAGGTGGAGAACATACACACTCCTCAATTAAGCCCACAAATCAACTATGCATCATAACGCTGGCCGTGGAAACCTAAGTTTATGAATAAAATAATTGACGTGGCTCAGCGGTAGTGCATTTGCCACTTGTTGCAGAGGTTTGCGGTTCTATTCCGACAGGCCGTCCTGGTTAATACTAAGATGTACGAGCCGTAAAATAAACGCCATCGGCTTCACAGGGGACATCGAATATCCCGTTTAACATGTAGGCTTTCACGACGAATATCATCCATAAGAGGTTTGTTTTGTTAGATCGTGTAAATATATGTGTCGTTAAAATCCACCACCACCCGACACAGCCAACTAGTAAGGGTTGTAATGTAAACAGAACATGCCAATTTGTCACTAGTACAGCACACTGGTGTGTTGGAGAGCCAAGCCACAACATTTACAATCTGAGTACGATGTTTTGCCAGTATTACAACTAGCTTCATCAGGCGACAGACAGATTTGTGGAGAAGTCCACCTGTTTTGTTCCTTATATAGAGGCGTAGATGTGGTGACCACACTTCACGCTCTTGCGTAAAGTGGAGGGGGGGCGATTAATGAGTCAACGTACATTATGCATGTGCATTATACGAGCCCTTTAATCTTGTCCTTCCAGTCCATTGTGTGTATTAAAATAGCCGTATCAATGACAATACTATATTCTATCAAAAAAAATAAAATATATATTTTGAAACAATCTTTTTTATATGTTATGTTTCGGCTTGGGTCTAATTGTCAACGCTCAACTTACGTAGGCTGTAATTGACCACGGTCCCTTACATTATGGCAAGCCTCGGGGCCACTTCCTGGAGTTGTGGAGTTCTGCCATTACTCATACGGTACATTTCATTAAAGCGTGTTTAAAAAAAAGTATTTTAAAATATTACTTATTCAAAAGAAGTTTTAGCATCTGTATTATTAGTGCTGTTACCAATACCTCAATGAAGCCCTCATATATTGCTCATACATGTGCAATAATACAGGTCGACGACAAGCGACTGTGTTCATTCAGACGCTGTCTCCCCGACAGACCTGTTCTTCACCTGAGGACGGCTGCTTGCGTTGTGGCCGAAACGTCGTGAAAATTGTATTTTATTATGTTTTATTTTTATTATTTTATTATTTCCCTTCTACGTGACTTTACCGAAAGAACCAAAAAAGAAGCGACTGTGTCTCCGTCTGTTTATTTCTTCGTTATATGGACAGCTCGCGTTCCGCTCTCTCGGACGTTCCGCGGCGCGTCGCGTGAGCTGGCGTCCCACTTCCCCGCTCCCGCGCACCGCTGGCAGACGGCGCGCTGGGAGCCGTCTCCGCGTCGCCACGTGGCCGATGGCTCACGGAGACCCGCGACGTGGTCCAGCTTCCAGCTCTCACCAACTGACCTCGAGCCCCTTCCGGCTCTCCATTATATCCCCTTCCCGCGTCACCCAGACTCTGCCCTTCACCACACCCCTTGAGAACTTTCCAGATAATACCACCCCCTAGCGCCCGCGGGGTCCACCCTTGAACCCTTCCCCCGATGGCTCGTGTCGCCTGGATGAGTTAGGGGCTGGGGCGGCGAAGCCCCAGCCTACGCTCGCATTACACATGTAAGAATTAAAGCTGTTGGGAATGCATCCCCATATATACAATTGTCTAATGAACTCCTTTATGCGCCGATTTGATTAGTGGCCACTTCTCCAGCATACACATTTTGAGCTGCTAAGCAAGGTCTGCCTGTACAATAATTTTCACTATTATTATTCAAGCACACAAATACCTCTCTAGACGTGGGCAGCATGGCTCGACCTCTGGTCTTGCTCCGTGAATTGCCGGCATTCTCGCAGACGCCCCATGCCTCACTGCATGCAGCTAAAGACATGGCTGTACTCTCCAATTGCTGTCAAATGAGAAGAGAGTTTAAGACACCATGAAGCACTTTTCTTGACACTGCAACACCACCACACCATCTTGACTAGTTTTACTACCGTGTCAATGACCACATATGCCAATGCAATTTATATACAGTGAGGGAACAAAGTATTTGATCCCCTGCTGATTTTGTATGTTTGCCCACTGACAAAGAAATTATCAGTCTATAATTTTAATGGTAGGTTTATTTGAACAGTGAGAGACAGAATAACAACAACAAAATCCAGAAAAAACGCATGTCAAAAATTTTATAAATTGATTTGCATTTCAATGAGGGAAATAAGTATTTGACCCCCTCTCAATCAGAAAGATTTCTGGATCCCAGGTGTCTTTTATATAGGTAACAAGCTGAGATTAGGAGCACACTCTTAAAGGGAGTGCTCCTAATCTGAGCTTGTTACCTGTATAAAAGACACCTGTTCACAGAAGCAATCAATCAATCAGATTCCAAACTCTCCACCATGGCCAAGACCAAAGAGCTCTCCAAGAATGTCAGGGACAAGATTGTAGACCTACACAAGGCTGGAATGGGCTACAAGTCCATCGCCAAGCAGCTTGGTGAGAAGGTGACAACAGTTGGTGCGATTATTCGCAAATGTAAGAAACACAAAAGAACTGTCAATCTCCCTCGGCCTGGGGCTCCATGCAAATCTCACCTCGTGGAGTTGCAATGATCATGAGAACGGTGAGGAATCCGCCCAGAAATACACGGGAGAATCTTGTCAATTATCTCAAGGCAACTGGGACCATAGACACCAAGAAAACAGTTGGTAACACAGTACGCCGTAAAGGACTGAAATCCTGCAGCGCCCGCAAGATCCCTCTGCTCAAGAAAGCACATATACATGCCCGTCTGAAGTTTGTCAATGATTCAGAGGACAACTGGGTGAAAGTGTTGTGGTCAGATGAGACCAAAATGGAGCTCTTTGGCATCAACTCAACTCCTGTGTTTGGAGGAGGAGGAATGCTGCCTATGACCCCAAGAACACCATCCCCACCGTCAAACATGGAGGTGGAAACATTATGCTTTGGGGGTGTTTTTCTGCTAAGGGGACAGGACAACTTCACCGCATCAAAGGGACGATGGACGGGGCCATGTACCGTCAAATCTTGGGTGAAAACCTCCTTCCCTCAGCCAGGGCATTGAAAATGGGTCGTGGATGGGTATTCCAGCATGACAATGACCCAAAACACACGGCCAAGGTAACAAAGGAGTGGCTCAAGAAGAAGCACATTCAGGTCCTGGAGTGGCCTAGTCAGTCTCCAGACCTTAATCCAATAGAAAATCTGTGGAGGGAGCTGAAGGTTCGAGTTGCCAAACGTCAGCCTCGAAACCTTAATGACTTGGAGAAGATCTGCAAAGAGGAGTGGGACAAAATCCCTCCTGAGATGTGTGCAAACCTGGTGGTCAACTACAAGAAACGTCTGACCTCTGTGATTGCCAACAAGGGTTTTGCCACCAAGTACTAAGTCATGTTTTTCAGAGGGGTCAAATACTTATTTCCCTCGTTGAAATGCAAATCAATTTATAAAATTGTTGACATGCGTTTTTTCTGGATTTTGTTGTTGTTATTCTGTCTCTCACTGTTCAAATAAACCTACCATAAAATTATAGACTGATCATTTCTTTGTCAGTGGGCAAACGTACAAAATCAGCAGGGGATCAAATACTTTTTTCCCTCACTGTATGTAAAACTGCTCAATTATTTACAACTAGCCTTTAGCCCGTCCAAGGACGGGTGTATTGCAGTTAATCTGAAACTTGCAAGCAAAAAGCAGACCGCGACGTGATATTCATTGCATTAATGCGTGTGCAATTTGTAAGGGCGCAGTGACACAGACCTATTTCATTTTAAGGTTATAATCCCTTGTTCATCATGACGTCCTTTTTACTTTGATGTCTCAATAGCATTACGGAGATTGCTTGACTTGAGGGTTTTGCCTTTGTAGTGAGGTTTGTAAGTTAACGCTGAGGAGGGGGGAGGAGGCACCTCGGCCCCCCATGTGGAGTGACGTCAGCCGCTAATTATTATGAATGGGGGGAGGTGTCCATTTGGAGGACGTCACCTTATGATTATTAATTAGGGGGGCTGTTCGATGTGGAGTGAGTGAGTCCAGAGGTGTGGACTCGAGTCATGTGACTTGGACTCGAGTCAGACTCGAGTCATGAATTTGATGACTTCAGACTCGACTCGACAAAATGTACAAAGACTTGCAATTCGACTTGGACTTTAACATCAATGACTCGTGACTTCACTTGGACTTGCGCCTTTTGACTCGAGAAGACTTGCTACTTCCCATGAAAACTGGGGGAAAAAATGTTCACACGGCCGCGCCGCTCTCAGTTTATCTGCATTTGTGAAAAAAATGTGCACCACCTGTATGCATGCAGAGAGCACGCGCGCTGCCTGCACGACATCCAATCACTGTAGTCCCACGTTGTTTTGATTGGACAGCATCTAAGCAGGCACATTGCAAGACAACCAATGAAGCGCAACAAGCAACAATGCGCCAGTTGGCAAAATGATACCGAAGATAGTTTCGTTTGGCTATAAAAATTACGATGTAGTCGACAAAAAACGAGTTGCAATTTGCAAAACATGCGGGTCGAAGATTACAGACGGTGCTGCCACAACGTCTAACTTTGTTCGACACCTAAAGTTGCACAAAGAAAGGTAAGTTTTGAACGAATGCTAAGCACCTTATCGGATGTACCGTAACTTACTAGCTGCTGCATATTTACTGTATCAACGAGACAGTAAACGCACGTCTCCCTTGCTGGTTAATGCTTACAAAAATAGGGATTTTTGAACCCCGATTATATGAGGTACATGAGTGTAGCACACTCAGATGGAAAACCTCTTCAACATCATGTCAACGTCCGTTTTAAAGTATCATTTCTACCTTGCTGCTAGACGGATAAACACAAATGTATATCTCAGTCTCTCCAACACACATGAGACAAAAACAGGCCTTCCAGTTTTACTCTTTCAATCGTTCAGTTTCAGAGTGGCTGGTGTGCTGCCTCATTGAGGTCGTTTATGTAATTTTGGTTAATCACAACTAAGCTGAACTGTCGCTGAAGACATAAACTATCACAATTAAACAATGAATGAGGCAGCAGTAGACCTGCAATTGCTGTGTGATGCAGCAAGGCACCATGGAATCTGGTGTGCAGGAGAGAGTGAACTATAAAGCAGGGGTTCCCAAACTTTACCATGACAAGGCCCCCCATATACCAGTAGATTCCAGCCAAGGCCCCCCTGACATGGGCCGTGCCACACTCTTTTTTCTGTGCACCTCCTTTCACAACTCGATGGAGTTGGTGCATCCCTAAACCCATCCAAGTACAACAGGAAACATAGTAAGACATATACACTGTAAAGAGGAAAATGACACAGTCACAGAAGATCCACCATTAGCCTTCCCTTTTCATATCATGCCCAAACAGCAGGCAGCGCATGGACATAGCGTGCTACCGTAGTCTAGGTCTGTGAGGCAGCGCACCACTGGGATATATACAGTATATAATAAAATAATAACGATTATAGTAGTAATGTTCAGAGATGCAATATATTATTATAGTGGAGTTCTTAACTAACGGGGATATTGTTTAGCTTATTTTTGGTTTAATTTGGTTTATTTTACTTATTTAATTTATTCAATTATTTTGTTTTGCTATACTTTTCATGCCAACTTGCCATGGCCCCCCTAGCACCCCCTCGCGGCACCCAGGGGTCCCCGTCCCCACTTTGAAAACCACTGCTATAAAGCATATGACTTCAGTTTCTTGAGGGAAAGGGCTTTCTTATGACTTTTGAAGCAGTGAAAATATTCTTAATATTGCATACACTGAAACTGAAATGTATTATCATATACCGTAGTGTACAATAGACAATGAATATTAACACAACAACATTGATATGAGTAAAGAGTAGTTTCAAATACAACATGTGTGGCTATAAGGGATTTTCTGACATCTGTTTCATATTCTTTTCTGTTACAGGTATGAAGAATACCAGATGAACAAAAGCATCGTAGATGAACCACAACAGCCTTCAATTTCACAATTCCTGGACACTCGTGTAGGGCGTTACAGCATGAGCCACCCACAGCAGAAGGCCATCTCCAATGCGATACTGTCTGACTTGATTATTGATTGCAATTTTCCTCTATCTATTGTGGAAAATAAGAGCTTTCGTCACTTTCTGGCTGTGCTGGACAGCAAGTATACCCCAGTCTGTCGCCGAACGCTGACCACAAAAACAGAGAGCCTTGCTGAGGAGAGACGTTCAAATTTAAAAACTCAATTGAGCAACACTGACCATGTTTCAGTCACTGTGGACATTTGGTCTGATCGAAAGATGAGGGGATTCCTTGATGTCACTGTGCACTGGATGGAGAGAGATGCAGAGAGGGTACAGCTAAAGACAAATCTCTTGGCCTGCAACCGCTTCAAAGGCTCTCACACAGCGGAGCGCATCTGTGACCAATTTGAGGCAATATGTGATGAATACAACATCAAAGCTAAATTGGACTATATCATTAGTGACAATGCTGCTAACATGTGCAAGGCATTTACGATCTGCTTCCCCAGCGAACAGGAGGAAGATGATGATGCTGGAGATAATCTTGATGATCCTGAGCTATGGCATGACTTAACCCTAGAAGACCAGCAAACCGTCGATGCTGCTATGGCAAAGAAACAGCGCCTGCAGTGTTTTGCACACACATTGCAGCTGGTGGTGGGAGACGGTTTGAAAGAAACAAAAGCGGCATGTCCTTCTCTCTCCAAGTTATCAAAACTTAGCTCCCTGCTCCACACAAGCACAACGTTTAAAGACATATTCGATGGTGAATTTGGGGAGCACAGAGGCATCCCTGCTGCAGTGAGCACGAGGTGGAATTCTACACTGCGGCAGGTGAAAGCAGTCCTTCATTGTGATCAGCAAAAGCTCTGCGCAGTTCTTGAGAAGGCCGGGCATAAAGAACTGTCATTCACACTACGAGAGTGGAATCTGCTGAAGGAGTTGGTGGACATCTTGACACCGTTCGGAGAAGCAACTGATTTGACACAGGGGGAGAAAGTCATTACAATCAGTGCAGTTGTTCCATCCGTCTTGTCCCTCAATCACCATCTTGAGAAGCTGAAGCCTCAAGTTCGTTTCCTGAGCGGCCTGGTCAGAGGTCTGCAGGCATCCCTGGAAAAAAGATTTCTTGGGATCTTCATTAATGTGAAAATGGCCCAGTCTCAAGAAGGGATCACTGCCCCCTTTTCAGACACAGTCTACCTGAAAGCAGCTGCCTTGGATCCAGCCTTTTGTCTGCTGTGGATTGAGCCCCATGTGCTGGTCAACCGTGACATCAAGGCATAGGTGGCACAACGAGTTAAAGGTAAATCTTATTGACTTGCAATGCAACTTAAATGCAACGTAAAATAATTTGATCTTAATCTGATCTAGGATCTAATGTGATATTAATCTGACTTTAACAATAATAACAATTTTCAGTCTTGCACAGTATCATCAACATCATAATCAACGTTTTTGGGTTTAGATCGCGTTTATTTATAAATGTGTCGTAACCCTCCACCACCCGACACGGCCAATCAGTAAAAATGTGTCACGTTGACAAAGACAAATAGTTCACTGCTTTAGCCCACCGGTGTGTTGAAGCCACAACATTTACAATTTGAGTACGACGTTTCGCTGGTAATTGCAACCAGCATCATCGGGCAATTCGCCAGAATGGTAAGGCTCTGCTGTGTCTCCCGTTCTTATATAGAGCAGCAGCAGGGTGACGTCATCATTAACTCATTAACTCATCAGGTGCAAAGATTCAAGGGGGGAGTGATTGTAATTATATACTAGATTAGTAATCAGGCTATTGTTACGATGCGAGTTGTAGATTAGTAATCATTTGGAATGTGTTTTATTGTGATTATGCTACATTAGTAATCAGTTAGTGGTTGTTACCCTTATAAGTAATTGTAATGTATCTTATTTAATAATACGCTTCCAGGCCGCACTAAGCCTGTAGCTGTCTGAGCGATTAAAGTTATTGCTGTTTCTCTCAATTTCAATCGATTCTCTAATTAGTCTTTGCCAGTAGTAACTAGTTTTACACAACACTTCCACGTTGTCAAAATCAATTGAGTGTCCCTGTTGGCATGCATGTTCTGCTACTGCCGAGAGTTGTGTTTGTGATAGTTTAATATTTCTCTGGTGTTCTTTTAGTCTTACACTAACGTTACGCCCTGTCTGTCCAATATAGCATCTGCCACATACACAATTAATCCGATATACACCTTCTGTTGATAATTTAGGTAATTCGTCTTTAGTGCACGTTACTAGTTGTTGAATTTTGTGTACTGTACCAAATCTTACTGTAATGTTTTGCTTTTGCAAAACACGGGCTAATTTATCAGTTACTCCTGAGATAAATGGTATTTTTATTGTTTTAATAATCTGATCGCTTTCAGCAGTGTTGCTTTGCGATCGTGATTTGGCTTTTAGTGCTATGTTAATTTGAGCATTATTGTAGCCATTCTGTCTTAGTGCTTCTTTAACATGTTTAATCTCTCTCACTAGACTTTCACCATCTGACACTGTTTTAGCCCGATGTATGAGCGTCTTGATAAGAGAGGATTTCTGAGCTGGGTGATGATGCGAATCTGCATTCAGATAGCCAACGCACACTGAGTGGCCTTTCTGTAAACGCTGTGTGTTATTTTACCGTTTGGGCCATGCCCAAGTAAAATATCCAGGAACGGGAGTGTGTTATTCACCTCCATTTCCATGGTGAACTGAATGGCCGGGTTTTGTGCATTGAGATGATTTAGAAAATCGTTAAGTGTATCTTTACCATGTGGCCAGACAACCAAAGTGTCATCCACATATCTAAACCAAAAGGATGGTTTTAATGTGCTCGAGGCAAGTGCTCTGGTTTCAAAGTTTTCCATGTACAAATTTGCTATAGCAGGAGATAAAGGAGAGCCCATTGCTGCTCCCTCCCTTTGTTTAAAGAATTCGCCTCTCCATAAGAAGTAAGTGTTATTTAAACAATGGTCTGCGAGTTTCGGAATATCTTTTGGTAAACCTGTATTCTTTACCAGTGTATCAAGTAATTTAAGCGACTCGCTCACTGGAACCTTACTGAAAAGCGAAATCACATCAAAACTCACCAAAATATCATTAGGGTTAAGTTTACTATCTTTGATCATATTCACAAGATGTTCTGAATTTCTTATGAATGATGATGTCCTACCGATGTAAGGTTGAATTTGTTTAGTTACATATTTTGCTAATTTATAGGTGGCAGAGCCAATTGTACTGACTATAGGTCGTAAAGGGATGCCGACTTTATGGATCTTTGGTAGCCCATACAGTCTAGGTGGTTTTGAAGCCCTTGGCTTAATTAGGAATTGCTCATTATTTGGGATTAATGAATTTGCAATGATTGCAGTAGTCTTACGTTCCAAAGTATTAGTTGGATCTCGTTTAATTTTAATGTAGGTACTTTCCTCTAATAAATCTTTAATTTTATTATCATAATCGGCTCGTGACATCACTACTGTAGTGCGGCCCTTGTCAGCTGCTAGGATTTGAATATCTTTGTTTAGACGAAGCTCTCTTAAGACTTTTGCCTCGTTCGAGCTGATATTTACTTTAGGTACTTTACTATTCTCAATAATTTTGGCAACCTCGTGTCTAGTCATCTCTGCCTCATTATGTGGAAGGAGTCTTACTGCTGATTCTACCTCAGCAATTATCTCATCCACTGGAATTGTGCGTGGGGTAACGGCAAAGTTAAGGCCTTTACAAAGGACAGAAATCATGTCAGTGGTTAATCTCAGTGTTAGTCAAGTTCATTACGGTTTTGTTTTTAAATTGTTCGTTTTTAATAGGGATTTGTTTATTGTAAAGTCTAGAAAATTTGTTAATTTGGTTAGCATTTGTTAGATTAAACACATTATCAGCCGATTGTTGTGTTATAGTATCGATTATATTCCAATCATGCATGGACACACTATTGCTTATATTTAAATGTAAATGCTTTAGCGATTCAGAAATGTTGGATAATTCACTCCTGTTGTGTTGTATTCTCTCTAAAGGCCTTAACTTTGCCGTTACCCCACGCACAATTCCAGTGGATGAGATAATTGCTGAGGTAGAATCAGCAGTAAGACTCCTTCCACATAATGAGGCAGAGATGACTAGACACGAGGTTGCCAAAATTATTGAGAATAGTAAAGTACCTAAAGTAAATATCAGCTCGAACGAGGCAAAAGCCTTAAGAGAGCTTCGTCTAAACAAAGATATTCAAATCCTAGCAGCTGACAAGGGCCGCACTACAGTAGTGATGTCACGAGCCGATTATGATAATAAAATTAAAGATTTATTAGAGGAAAGTACCTACATTAAAATTAAACGAGATCCAACTAATACTTTGGAACGTAAGACTACTGCAATCATTGCAAATTCATTAATACCAAATAATGAGCAATTCCTAATTAAGCCAAGGGCTTCAAAACCACCTAGACTGTATGGGCTACCAAAGATCCATAAAGTCGGCATCCCTTTACGACCTATAGTCAGTACAATTGGCTCTGCCACCTATAAATTAGCAAAATATGTAACTAAACAAATTCAACCTTACATCGGTAGGACATCATCATTCATAAGAAATTCAGAACATCTTGTGAATATGATCAAAGATATTAAACTTAACCCTAATGATATTTTGGTGAGTTTTGATGTGATTTCGCTTTTCACTAAGGTTCCAGTGAGCGAGTCGCTTAAATTACTTGATACACTGGTAAAGAATACAGGTTTACCAAAAGATATTCCGAAACTCGCAGACCATTGTTTAAATAACACTTACTTCTTATGGAGAGGCGAATTCTTTAAACAAAGGGAGGGAGCAGCAATGGGCTCTCCTTTATCTCCTGCTATAGCAAATTTGTACATGGAAAACTTTGAAACCAGAGCACTTGCCTCGAGCACATTAAAACCATCCTTTTGGTTTAGATATGTGGATGACACTTTGGTTGTCTGGCCACATGGTAAAGATACACTTAACGATTTTCTAAATCATCTCAATGCACAAAACCCGGCCATTCAGTTCACCATGGAAATGGAGGTGAATAACACACTCCCGTTCCTGGATATTTTACTTGGGCATGGCCCAAACGGTAAAATAACACACAGCGTTTACAGAAAGGCATCAGTGTGCGTTGGCTATCTGAATGCAGATTCGCATCATCACCCAGCTCAGAAATCCTCTCTTATCAAGACGCTCATACATCGGGCTAAAACAGTGTCAGATGGTGAAAGTCTAGTGAGAGAGATTAAACATGTTAAAGAAGCACTAAGACAGAATGGCTACAATAATGCTCAAATTAACAGAGCACTAAAAGCCAAATCACGATCGCAAAGCAACACTGCTGAAAGCGATCAGATTATTAAAACAATAAAAATACCATTTATCTCAGGAGTAACTGATAAATTAGCCCGTGTTTTGCAAAAGCAAAACATTACAGTAAGATTTGGTACAGTACACAAAATTCAACAACTAGTAACGTGCACTAAAGACGAATTACCTAAATTATCAACAGAAGGTGTATATCGGATTAATTGTGTATGTGGCAGATGCTATATTGGACAGACAGGGCGTAACGTTAGTGTAAGACTAAAAGAACACCAGAGAAATATTAAACTATCACAAACACAACTGTCGGCAGTAGCAGAACATGCATGCCAACAGGGACACTCAATTGATTTTGACAACGTGGAAGTGTTGTGTAAAACTAGTTACTACTGGCAAAGACTAATTAGAGAATCGATTGAAATTGAGAGAAACAGCAATAACTTTAATCGCTCAGACAGCTACAGGCTTAGTGCGGCCTGGAAGCGTATTATTAAATAAGATACATTACAATTACTTATAAGGGTAACAACCACTAACTGATTACTAATGTAGCATAATCACAATAAAACACATTCCAAATGATTACTAATCTACAACTCGCATCGTAACAATAGCCTGATTACTAATCTAGTATATAATTACAATCACTCCCCCCTTGAATCTTTGCACCTGATGAGTTAATGAGTTAATGATGACGTCACCCTGCTGCTGCTCTATATAAGAACGGGAGACACAGCAGAACCTTACCATTCTGGCGAATTGCCCGATGATGCTGGTTGCAATTACCAGCGAAACGTCGTACTCAAATTGTAAATGTTGTGGCTTCAACACACCGGTGGGCTAAAGCAGTGAACTATTTGTCTTTGTCAACGTGACACATTTTTACTGATTGGCCGTGTCGGGTGGTGGAGGGTTACGACACATTTATAAATAAACGCGATCTAAACCCAAAAACGTTGATTATGAATAACATTGGTCGCGAAAGCCTACGTGTTAAACAATCATCAACATCAGTAATGGTAATAAGAGCTCTTTTGTTTCTGCTGTTGTGACACGTTTTTTTAGAATTGATCCTGAAAGATACTGCAGAGACGGAGCAACCTGTGCCTGTGCCGGTGCCTGCTGAAGAAGAACTAGAGGACATGGAAGGAGAAGGGCTGTTTGCTGCATACCATAAGAGGCAGAAAAGGGATGTTGGGACCCCACCAGCAGTACAGCTAAGTCACTACATTGACATGGCAGAAGGACAGAATGTCCCTTTTGTTCTGGGCACTGAACAGTAAGACTCTTCCTTCACTCTTTCAAGTAGCCATCCGAGTCTTGGCAGTGCCTGCTTCTAGTGCTCCAGTGGAGCGAGTTTTCAGCCATGGTGGCATCATTCTGCGTCCCCATCGTGCACAAATGACTGACAGACTTTTGGCCAATTTGATCTTTTGCAAATGCAATGCAGTGTAGGGGCCTCCCTCCACCTGTCCACAGCACGCATGCGCACACACACTCACTCTCTGCTCATCACCTGTCCACACAGCTCTCTCTCTCTCATACACACCAGTCTCTATGGAGGCATTCCAATTATATTATCAGGTTGGTCCAGTTTTTCAGAAGTGATAATTTTGAGGAGTGAGGATTTTATTGATGACATGTTTAAAAAAGTTTAGGCTAAAAGAACCCATGTCTATTTGAAAGTTAAACTGTTTTGCAATATGAGGTCAATGCAATACAAGACTGAAGCTGCTGTGCATTGTTCTAGTGCAATATGCTGTTGAAATAAGAGCATTTTTTGTGAAAATTAAATTTTCTGTTTTCTACTGTGTTTGATTAATGTCATTGTATAAAAAGAGGTTTAAATAAATACAAATCTTACAGACATACATGATTTGTATAAATGTTATTTCTGTGGTAAGAGGACTTGAAATGACTCGAAACTAAAATGGTAGGACTTTGGACTCGACTTGAGACTTGCAGGCTTTGACTTCTGACTCGACTTGGGACTTGCCTCATCTTTGACCCGACTTGACTCGGGACTCGAGAGCAAAGACTTGAGACTTACTTGTGACTTGCATAACAATGACTTTGTCCCACCTCTGGCTGTGTACACGGTAGTGTAGCGGTTAACACGGTGCGCTACGAACCTGGAGACCCAAGTTCTATTCTGGCTCTCAGCCAACACGTGACGATTATCTGAACCGGTCCTGGGCCTCCCCTAGGTCGACTCAGACTCCAATGAGTACCTGGTGCAATGTAAACATCACCACTAGGGAGAAAAAGGCGGCCAGGAGTGGTGTTGGCCACCCATCCCCCTCGTGTGGCGTGTCAGCCTTCAGATGTGCTCCTCGCTAACATCACTTGCCCCAAGTCTGTTTAGGTTATACCGGGGATCTTTGTCTTGTACATGTGTGTACACGTGTTTGTCTTGTCTATGTGTGTGACCAAAAGTATGTTAAAGCTATGTGGGGGATATTTGTCTTTGCCTATGTGTATAGAATGTGTGGTGCAGTAGTTAGCGCACCGCACTGTGCTACAAACCCCGGCAGAGAGCCGAGTTTGATTCCCACTCATGGCCACTGCCACCACCAGCACCGGTGGCAGCAATTGATCCTCATGGTGGTACACCAGGGTACCAAATAATACAAAATGGCCGAGGCAATTAAATATTTTATTTCTGGGACACTTTTTAACTCCGCGACTGGGGTACCAATCAATGCGAAATCAGTGCTACTCCGCGATGTCGAAACACCAAATATTAGCATTAAAAAATCCGTTTTCGAAAAATTAAACTTTTAAGAGTGCATTGTGTACAGCTCGTTGAGATGAATCGATTACCGCATCGCCGACCATCACCAGACTAAAAATGATTGCATCACGGACATTATGCGAGAGCCGGGGAACTATGGTACCCTGGGGTACCGCCCTGAGGTTCAATTATCAGAACTGGTCCCGAGGCCTCTCCTAGATCAACTCCGCTTCAAATAAGTACCTAGTTTGGTGTGTGACGTACCTGGGGCGTTGTGATCAACCATGCCCTCGTGTGCCACAGTTCCAGCTTCAATACATGCTGCTATTTGCTTACAGCACTTGCCCCAACAGTCTACTGAGGCTTTATGATTGACCTCTGTCTTTGTCTGAACCGTGTGCAGAGGCTGGGTGTGCCCCCAAGAAACTTCATACATGCCGCTCCTTACGGATTGATATACTTTGGTAAGTTAAAAGGGGTGGCTTGGGGCTGTTATTGCATAATTCCAACGGAGTGATGTTTTTTTCTGAGTAGAAGGGTTGGTAGGTGGATGGGTAGGTGGATGGGTAGGCGTGTGCGTGGGTGGGGGGGGTGAGGGGGTGGCGGGGTTAATTTGCAAAACAACACCCTACCTCAAAGGTGGTGCCGGTCGGTAACGCTGTGGTAAGCAATGCCAAGGGAGGGAAGGTCAATTTCAACATGCAATTCCCCTCATGGGGCTTGTAGCCACCACTGAGGCCAATGGCTGCGAGAGGCTGGTAACCCCTCCACCTTAAATTTAATTACTAGTCAGTCATCTCAATCAGTCAACCCATGGTACCGGAGTCTATCCCATGACCTCCTGCCAGTGAGCTTTTGACACTTCAGGTGGCCTTAAAGTGCACATAGCCTGGTACAAGCACCATGGTGATGTCACTGCCACTTAGTGGCAAATGGCAGTTATTGTTGTTGAGTAGGCCATGGGGGGATGGTTAGGTGAGTGGGTTGGCGAGTGGGTGGGTGGATAGGTGGGTGAGTGGGTGGGTAGGTGGGTGAGTGGGTAGGTGGGTGATGTGGTTTGTAACTATGTATATCTCTCTCTTCCGCTGTGCATGGCCCCTGCAGGTGGTTGGAAGAAACCATACAGCCTGCCGGGGAGCTTCCCACTACACTCTGTGCTCAAGAGCCAGGACACGGAGTTTGTGGACTTTATCAGCCGCTGCCTCCAGTAAGAACTGCCTCCTCTCCCTCTTCCCCCTGCTGCCCCCCACGAGGATTCCCCATCACTCAATCTCCTCCAAATTATTGGTGATCACACTCCATCAATCACCAGCTCCACCCTCTCATTCTTATTCATCATCTCCTGGGCCCAGAGTTGGTGGACTGTGTCCATTTTTGCCTACAGTAGATACAGTAAGACAGCCTCCCGCCTGCCCATTCCCCTCTCCCACACCTCCCCACAAGGATTCTCATATCAGTCACTCTCCTTCAAGTAATCGTTAGAGACACCCATAGGCCCCCATTTTTTTCTTCCTCTTCGTCCGATCCGAAAGTCCAAAATTTGAATAACAAAACTCTACATGTGGAGAATGTGGTACGTCTGGGTCACGTCGTCACCGCTGAGCCATATCACAAGAGGTGGAACTGATGTGGTACAGGAGGATGTGAAACTGAGTGAACCTGCCGATGACCTGTACCAGCAGTGTCAAGATCGGTGTCTGTGGAGGCCCATGAAAGATGGGCAGTGGCAGGCTAAGTGCATTTTTAGGCTACTGGGCAGTGGAGTACTCCCCGCTGCTGGTGAGAATTCCTGGACCTCGTGGAAGAAGGGAAGAAACGTAAATCCTTGTAACGTGCCTCTCACCACGTGTGCCCCCGCGTGTCTCTCAACAGATGGGATCCAAATCTTCGGATGACTCCCACTCAGGCGCTCGCACACAGCTGGCTTCAGGGCATGGCCGAGGTCCATGATCAAGGGGCAGCCACGGCCACAACCAGCACCACCATTACCACCGCTACCACCACCGCTGCTCGCAGTGTGCAGGGCCGGATAGCGCTGAGATCCAGAGAAGAGGGCTCCGGAGAATACGATGCAAAGTCTGGAGCCACTGAGCCACGGTAAGCAAATCTGCATGTGTCCTGTGTATGTGTTTATTATTTTGTATCATTATTATTATGCTTGTTTATGCAGAATGAACATCATTGAGTCTCAAGACAAAATATTCAAGAGGGCCCTGCCAAGTTTTGTTCGCAGTTGGGAACAAAGTTGCTGTGTGTGATCCCAATTGAGTGCTTTAGAGGTCGATTTTGATCCAAGACCAGTTGTGTTGTTGTGGGTTCAGTTTCGGGGGAAGAAGCTGCTGAACCCAGAGGAAACCCATGCAGAACGGGGGGAGAACACAAGTGCATTCCAGCCTACCCCACGTGTATATTCATCTGTAGACCGATTTATTTTCCATAATTGGTTTGTGGGTGAGCCCACATAACCATGCGGCCATATCTTCACCATCTAACCCTTCATTCACCGTAAAATGCGTTGAGGTGCGAGATGTGATATGTAAGTGCCTCATTGCGTTGTAAAGCACTCTGAGATACCATCGAAGTCAAGATGGGCAGCTTTATCTAACACGAATCACCATCAGATATTTTTACAACAATCGTGCATGGGTGATGCGGCCCAGCGGCAGCACTCTTGATGGTTATTACTGCCATGACGGGATGTCAAGACATGATGTACCCTCTCCTTTGCAGTGGATGTTGAAGATCTCCCCTAAGTTCGTTCAAAACGAGTAGGCCATTGTGTGCCAGGGGTCATATTTGCCCCAATTAGAATATATCATGAAAACAAAAAGAAATCATGACAAATTACTTAGTTGTATTTACAAAGCAACGCTGCCTGCTACTGTGACACTACAGCAGACTGTATGAGACACAGTGGTACATTCCTTCGTGATAATCTTGTCCCATCAGAATGACAGCTCTGACATGAAACGTACTCAATTTTTTCATTGTTATTAAGCTCGGTTTAATCTGCCACACCAACGGGAGATGGGGAGGTGACTGCAATCTCTGTCATAGCAAAAGGTGGAGTCGTGTCGTGCGTGTGTCTTCACAGAGTGAAACCGGTGCAGCCCAGCTCACTTGCCCAGACCTCTGAAGAGGAAACAGAGGTTGTGGTGGAAAATGAGGGAGACCAAAAGACTGAGGTGGAGGAGGAAGAGAAAACGGAGGAACAGGATCAGGAGACAGAGGAGGAGATGGATAAGGGGGGAAATATGGTGGAGGAAGAGAAGATGGTGGTGGAGGAGATGATGGTGCAGGAGGTTGAGAAGTTAGAGAATGAGGTGACGGACGTGGAGGAGGAAGAGGAGACGGAGGAGACGGTGGAAGAGGAGCCGGAGGAGGAGGAGGAGCCGGAGGAGGAGCTGGAGGAGGATAAGCCGGAGGAGACGGAGGAGCCGGATAAGGGGGGAATTATGGTAGTGGAGGAGATGATGGTGCAGGTGTTTGAGAAGTTGGAGGAGGAAAAGGAGATGAAGGAAATGAATAAGAAGCGAGGGTGCATGGCTCGTGTGGGGAGAGCAATACGCTCACTCCTCCGCCACGTGCTACTGTGCGGTGGCCGGTCCACCCCACAGTAGGGGTGGTAGTGGTGGTGGTCGTACATTTGTGTAAACCACGACTGCTATCACCACACCACCCACCCTCCCCCCGTGATACACATTTTTAGTCTATTAGTGTAAATATTTTTAGTCTATTTCTGTATATATTTTGTCTATTGCTGTACATATTTCCTTGGATACAATGCATTTGTAGTGACAGAACGGTCACTACTGTGTTGGCCCGTACAAGGGCTGGGGGCCCCAAGGGGGTGCCTGGGGGGTCACGTGCTGGAGGGATCCGGACCTTCCCAGAGGTGGGGGAAGTGAGGCGTGGCCTGGGAAGTGAGGCGTGGCCTGGGATGGGAGGCGTGGCCTGGGCGGAGCCGGCCACGCCAGAGAGACGAGATATAAGGGTGGTGTGAAGGCAGAGCAGGGCTGTTCCTGAGAAGAATGAAGACACCTCGTGAAGATGCCAGAAGGGAAGACCTAGAGTGAGCGGACTGCCAGCAGCCACCTGGCTGGGTCACGCTGGAGGGGCTAAAATACAATTGTGTGTTAGCTAGTGTAGGTCGGTGGTCACCACCCTATGTGTAGAGAAAGAGTAACTGTTGAGTAAACGTTGTGTTAATTAATAAATGAGTGTTGCCTCCCAAGAAGTGTGTGCGCCTAAATTGAACCCATTACATTTGGTGTCAGAAGTTGTGGAAAAATAAATATTGCTAGGTGTTATCCTAGGGAAGTAAAATGGGCACACGAAAAACAAATATAAAACTCATCTGGACGTCTTCGTACGACGGGGATGGTGTGACGACCATCCCCGTCGTCTTCGGACAGCCCCGGGGATGGCAGCCCCGGTGACAGAGAGAGAGAGAGATGGCGCTGCACGCGGAGCGGCGGGACTTGCATCGCACTGCTGCTTCGCCGCCATCGGGAACGGAGCGACGGAGCCGCGGCGAGAGGACACCATCGTCGCTGCGGTGGCTGGCGGGGGAGGCCTGGGCATGCGGGCCACGCGGTGGGCCCGCCATTTCGGCGGCTGGTCGGGGCGCGGTTCCCGCCAAAACGCCGTTCCCGCCATTTCGGCGGCTGGTCGGGGCGCTGTTCCCGCCAAAACGCCGTTCCCGCCATTTCGGCGGCTGGTCGGGGCGCTGTTCCCGCCAAAACGCCGTTCCCCGCCATTTCGGCGGCTGGTCGGGGCGCTGTTCCCGCCAAAACA